AACCCCTCGTTTGTTGTCCTCTTCTCTCTCTCTACCTACGGTTTACCGGGCAGTTCTGTTTGTGACGATATATATATATATATATATATATATATATATATTATTTCTAAGTTAATTTAGTTATTATTATTGTCGCGCCCGTATGTGGACGCGAAAACACAACAAGGGGCACCGACCGGCACCAAGTCCTTCGGGACATCCGTTCGTGTAGGTGTTGTCCTTCGGGACATCAGCTAAAATTGGAACGACACAGAGAAGATTAGCGTGGACCCTGCGTGAGAAGTATTGTGCACGAGAAGGAAGTGAATCTGGCAACAATTTGTGCCAAAATACCGGCATTTGTGGGGCAACTGTGGGGCAGACCGTTGTAGGCAGCGCTGCCGGGTTGGGTAGCTAAGAATGGGGGTCGGAGGAGTTACCGGGTCGCCTAGTAGTTCCGCCACGTCGAGAGGCCTAGCCTCTCTGCGGAAAAACAGTGGCTGTCGGGAGACTGGCCAGTCAGTGCGACTTCGGGATTAGCAGGGTCTGTCCGGAAAGGGCAACGTGTATAAGACGGAGGAAAGTCGGCGCGATCTGGGCTTCTTTCCTTTTTTTTGCTCATTCTCTTTTATCGTCGTCTGTTAAGACCAGACGCGGTGGGACTGGACGCTGCGTAGAGTTGCGCTTAGTATTAGGAGGGCAGACGTCGAGACGGGCGGAGCACAGGGTATCGGAGTTAACGAGGGAGAGGGGTGAATGAACCTGGACGGGGCTTCGGGCCGGGTGTGCGCGCGGTAAGAGAGAGAGAAGGATAGAGGTAACGGGAAGGATGAGGCATGCTGGTCGGAAGCCAGGGGATACGGTCGGCGTTAGTACGGAGACGATGAGGGAAGGAAAAGTGTAAATGAATCTGGGCGACAAGTGGCGTCAAGTGCCTACGGGGTGAAATCCGGCAATCAGGAAAACGTCTGATGCCAAGGCGGACAGCGGGCAGCGCAGACGTAGTTGTAAACGGAAAGGCAAAGCACGGTCAAGGAGCAAATGAACCCGGCCCGTTTTCAGGGCCAAGTGCTCGTACATTTGGAGATGACGGAGCCATAGGAGGAAGGAGCGAAGAAACTCTATCTCAACCGATTCCTAACGGAATCGGGTGGGGGAAGATGTCAATCTGACGTTTCAGGATAGGGCGAAATAGACTGTGGTGTTAGTTTTCGGTATTAGTGAGTAGATTTTGAGGTGGGAAAGAGTATGGCTGCATGAAAGTATGGCGGAGAGGAGAGGAAACGAATGTGCATTGCTCGTTTCCGAGCCAGTTCGGACAAGAGAAGATTCATAAATGGGATATTGGGGTCGGGCGAATTCAGTGGTAACAATAGAATTTGTGTTAAATTAGTAAGTTAGTAGTAAGTAAAGGATTGAACTGCGCGAGGGAGGGAGCATTTGGTAGTATGCATGTATCTGCCCGCCTTTCAGCAAGAGATTCATTCGGGACTTACTTAGCACGATTCAAGGGAGTGGTGCTACGCCAGCTAGGGAGAAGGTAGAAAGTTAGAGGGGGAAGGAGACAGAGGAGTCGGAGCCGCTTACCTGCAGGGGGGAGGCCTTGAAGGTGACGATGAATCCTACCGCTTTTGAGCCGGAGATTCATTCTTGATTTTTTTTTTTTTTTTTTTTTTTTTTTTTTACGAGTTCAGCACGACCTTCTGCCGTAAACGAGCGTGCAGGGGGAGAGAGAGAGATGCCTCGCTACTGAAGAAGTGATTCTGTAATATGCCATTGAGATCTTGTGGTGATTGGCCAAACACGGACCGAAGCCAACAACTGGGATATGAGCATTCGTCGGGCCTCAGTACGCAGGGGGCCTTAAGTCTGTCAGTGCCTGCACGAAGGGGTCCGTATGCCTATCTGAGTGCTAGTCGGCTAAGTGTGTGTGTGAGCCGCAAGGGCACTCGTTAGTTAAAGGGTCCGAGCCTGTCGATACTCATCTGTGGCTGTGGAATTGAAAGTTGCAGCGGAGAAGCACCTGAGCAGCAAAGGAAGGAACGACGGTGCATGGCTAATCTATTGGCAGAGTGATCTATCTGGTGGAACAATTCACGGGCCAGGTTGGGAACTGTTATGATCCTTGCCCCGCCATTACAGATTGGCATTATTCGAAAGGGATACTGGGCAGGGCTTGGGACTATTAAGGCAAGGGGAGCTGTAGCGTGGGCTACGAGGCCTGCGGAGCATGTTGGGGTTTTGCTGCAAACCGCGCAGCGGAGGAGCGGAGAACTGCAGAAAGGCCGAGGTTTGGGCACTTGTCTATGGAGTGTTGTGCCCCTCAGGTGACTAAGCCAAGACTGCTGACTGTCACAGCTGGTAAGCAGCCGCGATTGGGCGAGGTTTGGAGGGGTGATCGGATTGGACATAAAAGGAGAGTTATTGCTGCAATTTTGAGGAGCCGCCAGGGGGATTGTGATCAGCAGTTCGGACTTGGGATTTGACCAAGATGATATATCGGTTACCATTGCGGGGCCCTCAGGAGCATCAAAATTACGAGGCCCTCTCCAACGAGTCTGAGTGCACCTCTCTTGGAACTGAGAATCTCAAAACTTTTTACTTTTACCCTTCTTATTCTAAGTCTAGTCATGTTCTGAGGGGAAGGCGGTAGGCGAGATTGCAACCCGTAGGACCGCATCAATACTCTGTGGGGAGTCTACCCACCGATTGCGGGAGCTCTGCTAGAGCCTAGGCGAGGCTCTGAAGGCAGGGAATTGACAGGTAACATTTGCGTTTCCGTCCATTAACCCTGATTATAACCCCTATTTGTATTACCTGATGCATATCTCACTGAATATATGACGCGCAGCCTTCCTTTATTTTTTGGTTTGACTTTTCGGACACTGAACAATACTAAGTAAGGAATGTCTGCTCAAGTCTCAGTTTCAACTTTTGTTGGTTGTATGAACTCAGACTGTTGAAAAGAACTGCATCTGGGGGAAAGGCAGGATGAGGGTATGACTTGCATGATGGTTGACGGACTGTTAAGGCTGGGGAGTCCCCATAAGTTTGGGGAACCCCAGTGCTTTGTTTTATTTTGGTTTTGCATGCAGACGTCAGACCCTTCTATAAGTTTAGGGGGTCTGGTTACTCTGAAGGTCGGGATGTCCCCATAAGTTTTGGGAGACCCAGTGATATGGTTTGCATGGAGGGTCAGGCTGTTCTGTAAGTTCAGGTGGCCTGATTGCTGTGACCTGTGAGGGGTTTAACTGTGCTTGATTTTCAAGGACTCATGGCGCTCAATAAGTTTTGGTGTCTTGGGTTGCTTTGTTTTCATTGGGATTTTACTCGTTTCTTTGGTTTCTGAACGAGGAGACCGAGCTATTCTGTAAGTTCAGGTGACTCAATCTCTTCCTGCTCTTAATTCTAAAGAATTAATCATGGCAAAAAGGCAGACCCTTTTGTAAGTTCAGGGGGTTTGACTCGATTCCACACACATAATGGCTCATATAGAAACGAATCTGACAGAGAGTTAAGACCCTTCTGTAAGTTCAGGGGGGCTGGTTCAAAGTCTCGCACATGCTGGAACCCAATGATTATAATTTGGCTAAACCTTATTACTATCTTATCTAAGAACGAGCTAATCAAACTGTTCTATAAGTTTAGGTGGTTTGATTATAGTCGTATCACAACTTGAAGAATGTACAACTAATAATAAAATTGATGGTAAACTGGGGCAGGCTGAACTTAAGTTAGTTCAGTCATATGCAGCCTTAGAAGACAAAGGTAAAGATAAGTATATATAACTTGGATACTTTAAACAGTCCAGGGCGACTAGAATGGTCTAGTCATGTGCCAAAAAAGAGAAAAGCAGTTGTGCCCTTTGTTTGTGTATATTTGGCCAAGTCAGAACGCTCTATAAGTTTAGGTATTCTGACTCTAGGCCTGACTAAGTTGAGCTGTTAGGTAAGTTCAGGCGGCCTGACCTATGCCTTATGTGAGCTGGGGATAATGGGTTAAATCATTAAAAGATCATGAACTATTGTTTGTTCAGGTTGACTTTGGGATGGTGAGAGTACTTATCTTTGTGGTTTGGCCTGCATGTGACTGAGTGAGGCTACTACTTAGTCTGAGTTTTAGTTTGATAGGCAGTTGCTTTAGTCGCTCGCCACGTGCTAGAGCCATAGAAGTTAATTTAAATTCCTGCATTTTTCGAGTTAAGTTTTTTTTTACTTAGGTCAATTCTCGCATTTTCTGGGATCTTTTGTTATACTTGGCCTTGTATAAATCTTGGCAAGCTACTTTCTCTACGGGAAGCGTTGCCGAAATTTTTACAAATCCAAAGAGTTAGTCAAAAGTTTGGCTTGTCAAAGTTTGGCTTGTCTTTTCATTATATCTGACTTAGTAAAAATCTGGAAAACCTTCTTTTCTAAAGGGAGTGCTGCCCAAATTTTTACTAATTCGGGGAGTTAGTCAAATTTACGACTTCTCAAAAGTTCAACTTGTCTAGATTTCATATATGGCTTAGTAAAATTCTGGGAAGCCTCTTTTTCTAAAGGGAGTGATGCCCAAAATTTTGCTAATTCTAGGAGTTAGACAAAATTTGGACTTTGGAGAGTCAAGGGTTATTTTTGATTTCATATTTAGGCTTATATAAATTATGAGAGGGGACTTTTCCTACGGGAAGCGGTGCCGAAATTTCCTTGTTTTCAGAGGAGTTATATTATTTTCGGCAGGTGGCGCTAGAGAGTGTTATACGGAGGTGTGCTATGGAGGTTTATGCCCCATATGCTGATGATTTAGCCTGGGCATTTGACCTATCTTGTGTTACAGGTCCTTTGGGTTGTCTGATTCAAGGTCAAGACTAGATTCAGCTTGATCCCTTGAGGATCATTTTCTGTTATTAGTGATAACAGGTCGGTTGCCGATCCGTCGGCTTACGACTCAATTCCGACTCACCCTCCACACTCAACCTAAAAGGCTTTAGCCCTGGTGATTTTTATTGTTTCATTAAGGTTTCACCCGGAATTTTATTGAATGGCCATTTAACAAAGGTACTGAGTATTTAGTTAAGGTGTGGTTGGACAGGAGGTTGGGGCTTGCATGGTTGAAGCGAGGGGTATGAGTGTTGAAGATGGTTGGGGTTGACTCCGTGTAGTGCGTGGGCTGTTGATTGACTCGTTGATGTGATTCGCAGGTATGTGCTATGAATCAGATTCTGAATGTGATTGTCTGCGATCACATATATATGTATGGCTGTGAGGGACCCCAATGAAACTGTGAGAAGTGATCGTCACACACTCCCCCCTGTTATATAAGCATATATATGAATATACTTGGGATGAATACTTGCATTGGCTAAAGGGTCCCCGTACTAAAAGGATGCTAAGGGGTTAAGACTAAAAAAGGCCTAGGGGAGACCTTTCCTTTTATTGGTTTCACTTCTGTAGAATTTTTCTTAGTCGGACGTTGGTCCTGGGCCGGGATTTGAGGTCCTTGTCCAAAACATCCCAAGCCCTAGGCTCTGCAGGGAAGGGGTTTTCCCTCGCGCAGAGCCCATTGCCTTGCCTACTGAGACGTTCAGACCAAAGGCCAGAGGTCTCGCGGCGACTGCACGACTATTCCTTCAGCCGTGCAATGTCGTGAAGGATTAGACCCTCACGACACTTCGAGTCTGACACTTGAGTGTCATAAGCGGTACTCGGATCCACGAGGGACCGCTTGATTATGAGCACTACATAGTACGCCATCATTGCGACTGCTTGCGTACGCCTGCATTGCGAGTCGATATGAGTAGGCCCTGCGTCCGTTTTTATACTAAATGTCGCGCACGACGCTTATTTGTTTTCCGCACCGGAAAGTTATGGGTTGGCTACCGAGGGGATAGGAGAGTTGTCGCGTTGTTTGTGTTGTGTTGTTTCGTGTGTGTGTGTATTTTATGTTTTTATTTTTGTGTTCGTAAAGTGGTGTGCGCGTGGTGTGTGGGATGCGTCCTAGTCGACCGACGACGAGTCACGCTTGGGACCTCAGCCCCCCAAGATGTCGGTTCGAGTGCGGGTTCGATAGAGGCTTAATACCGCGCGTACCCCCTATGCTACAGCGAACGAGAATCGCCCTCGGCTGGTCCACCTCAGCGATTGCAACTGATTAGCTTTCGTACTGTGGACTGGTAGCTCGGTGGGGATACGCCCACCGAAGGGAGGTGACAACTCCCGTAAGGTGGAGGTAAGTCGTGCCTCCCGTAGGCCCTATCCTGTCATAGGGGCTCGCGGGAGGTAAGGCTGACGCATTCGACCGGAGCGGCTTGTGGAAGCTCCATGTATATTGCGACGAAGGATTTTATCCAACTCCTGCGTGACGCGGCCGGGAGGGTCCTGCGCTGCTCATGTGGTGCCGGACCGATGCGCCCGACAGGTGGCGCCGTTGCCGGGGAATAACGGAAAGCCTGCCGTTGCCCCTGGTGGAACGACATCCGGGTATAAGAAGCGAATGAAAAAAGGTATAAGTGTAGTAAGAGTTAGGTAAAGCGGGTGGAATAGACCGGTCAAGGTGTAATGTTGAATAAGGGAATGTGCTTGTTTTCTCTTATCAGGGAGCTTGAAGAGAAGAGTCTGTCAAGATGTCGGAGGGCGGCGGCGCATCAGGTTCTCCAAAGAAAGGCCTGACGCTCGATGACCTCATCGCGGCTATTGACAGGCATAAAAGAAATCCGAGCAATATCCCCAAGGTTGATACCTTCCATTTTTGTGGGGAAAAAGTTTCAGAATGACTGGAGAAAGTGGAACAAGCTCTGGTCGAGTGGTCGGATGTTGTAAAATTTCAGCGCATTCTCCAGTACATTCTCCACAGCTACCACCAAGAAGTGAAGAAAGTTATAGATGCAGCCCAAGGTAGCTGGGAAAGATTCAAGGAGGGAATGCAGAGGAAGTACCGCCTGGGAGATGGACTGTTGACCACTGCGGACCTTGAGGCAATGAATAAAGAGGATTTTACGAAGATAGGGGCTTTTGTTCAAGAATTTAAGAAGAGGGCGCGGAAGGTCCATGGGATTTCGGAGGAAGCACAGTGCGCCATCTTCCTGGGGCTACTCACGGCATCGGAGACCGTCGAGTTGACGAGGCATGGAGGAGGCAGCACCAAGCTCACCTGGGCCACTATTGACAGAGGGGTGGAAGTTGGGTGTCTGGACGAGGTGGAGCAATGTCATGTACGCCTGCAAAGGCAGAAAAGAAAGGAAAGAGATGCGACTGCTTCTGGGACCCCGGGGGTAACAAGGATTGTTACAGACGTATTGGCACAACTGGGGTATGCGACAGAGCCGGTGGTGCAAAGGAGGGTAGTAACGGCTGTCCAAGTAAAAGGAACGGAGCCGGTGATAGAGGAGGCTGTTCAGGAGGAGCTTTGGGAAGAGGAAGAGTCGGTGCTGCAACGCCTGACGAAGGCCCAGCGCAAAGTGCGTGACTTGGCGCAGGGAGGACAGAGATCAGGAAAAGTGCAAGCGCCTCAGGCGGTGGTTGCGGCTCCTCCAAGTGTGGCGGCGCCCTCGTTTAGTGCGGGCCCCTCGTAGGGAGGGACACCCTCCTACGGACAGTGGCCCTGGCCGGTGATCAATGCAATTGTGCCATGGGGTAGCCCGCCGCCAGTAGCCGGACCACAAATGAGTATGCCGCCACCCATCTACCCCGCATCCCAGGCCTTGCCTGTGGCCCCGCCGCCGTCACCCGCTCCCAGTTCACAGGGAAGCGTGGCTAGAGGTGGGAACCAGGGGCAGGGCAATCAAGGCAACGGAGGGAGGGGTGGAGGAAGGGGGCGAGGCAGGAGTGGCGGCGGAAGAGGAGGGCAATGGAATATTCAAGGCCGAGGAAACCAAGGCCGGGGGTACCGAGGCCAGGGGAATCAAGGCCAAGGGTACCCAGGCCAGGGGTATCAAGGCCAGGGGTATCAGGGAAGTCAGGGATACGAAAGACCCCGCTTTGATTGGAGGTCGCCTATCTGCGAGCATTGTGACCAGCAAGGCCACACTATAAAGTTCTGTAACATGAGGCGGGAGGACAAGAAAAGCAGGCTGATTTCCTCCACTATGGACGGGAACATTTATGATCAACTTGGGGAGTTCATCGACAGAAGACTCGGGGGAGTAAAGGCGGAAGCTCAACGGAAGGCGGCAGCCGGGCCGCTACCTCCTGCCACATTCAGACTATGGCAGGAAAAGAAAGGACCATTGGTGGGGATAAGAGAATTCAGATTATGGCAGGAAAAGGAAGAACCACCGATTGGGGTAGAGGAAGTGGGGAGCGACGAGGAAGTAACTCAAGGTAAATTATGGCAGGAAAAGAAAGAACCACCGATTGGGGTAGAGGAAGTGGGGAGCGACGAGGAAGTAACTCAAGGGCCACGAGGTGGAAGCAAGAGGGAAGAGCCTATAATCATCGAGTCGGATGACGAGGACGAGGAAAGAGGGATGAAGCCTCCATCCGTCTTATTAGGGAAGATGGAGGACTTGTTGGACAAGGTGGGAAGGTACCAACAGAAGTTGGTGGCTCTCTGTAAGGAGGTGAGGGAATGAAAGTCTAGCATCCCTAAGGTGTTCTTGTACGACTCCGGTCCGGAGTCAGCGCCTGGGCGACCCGGAGTAAATGTGGTAGGGTCAAGCCCACAGTCGGGGGTGATGGGGAGACCCCTCACCCCGCAGGCCCGGCTGACACAAGCATCGCGAACGAGGAATCAAGCCAAGGCCAGTGCCAGCCAAGAGCCTCCGAGGAGGGAGCTCGAACCGGAAAAAAGGAAAGCGGCCGTGAAAGTAGAGGACGACGATGATGAAGAAGAAGAAGACGAGAGGCTGCGCCGAGAAGAGGATCAGAGAGAGGAGCAGCGGGCAAGGAAAAAGGAGACCAGGGGAGAGGCCGAGCCGGTCATATGTGACGGACCACCCAAAAAGAAGAAATACGCGGTTCGGTTGAAAGAGGGATTTGATGTAGAGAAAGTGATTGACCGGTTGCTGGAAGGGCATAATGACCTCATGACCCTGAAGGAAATCCTAGCGCGAGCCTCGCGACTCTGCGATGAACTGAAGGGAAGATTGTCATGGCGCCTGGTTCCCAATGTCCATCTGGGTACGATTCTGCCCAAGGAGGCTGAGTGGGCGGAGTCGGGTACGAAAATGGACTGGAAATGTGTAGCCTGCGACACGATGGATTTGGTGGTGAAGGGCTCTAAGTGTGCAGCAATGATGGATACCGGGGCGGAAATGAACGTCATCCGAGAGGCGGATGCTATCAGATTTAGGCTAGACATAGACCGATCTGACTGCGGTATTTTGCACGGCGCCAGCTGCAAGGCCGTGTTTTGTGGGACAACCTCGAATGTACTCATCGAGGTTAGAAAGGTAAAGGCCCGAGCTTGCTTCTTCATCATGCCGGACGTGGACCATGGGATCCTCCTAGGGAAGTCATTTTTGAGTAGGACAAAAACCGTGATGTTCAACAAACATGACGGTACTCTGATCCTCCTCCTATGTGACCTTGCCTGCGGGAATTACGAGATAATTACCTGTAGAAATATAGGACCAAGGAGTAGAAGGAACCGACCCAACCCAGGATCCTTCACGATCGAAGAATCGGAGGGCGAGCGCCAAAGACTTCGGGCAGAGCCGGAATGAGAAGAAGAGGTGAAAGCGTTTTCCCTTAGCCTATCGGACGTCGGAAAGGCCATGGATTTGGTGGTCGCACATGAGATGGTGGATCCGGATGCCATCAAGGTCTTGAGGGAACAAGTTCAAGAATGCCCCGAGGTTGGGAGATTGGAGCTGGTATATCGTCTTCCAGACGGAAGGAGGAACCCCGCGTCCGCGCAAGCGCAATCTGTGAGTCGGCCTTTTTTAGGGGACGGCTCAAGCAGGGTTCCCAAAGGCGGTACAAGACGGTAGACAAGAAGTGCCGCCCGGTTCCCGTCCTCGTTACAGAGGACGAGGAAACATATTACGAGAGAGAACGAGGATTGATACGGCGAATGAGGGAAAGTGCTCTAGCAGGACCATTTCGTATCAACGAAGGAAATGAGGGGAAGTTTATTATAGGAGAGCCCGACTTCCTACTGCCTCAGGAGCGAACGTTGATGGTGGAGTTAATGAAAAATAGGCATCGCGCCTATGCGTTTAGTGACGAGGAACGTGGCAGGCTGGATGTTGACAAAATACCTATGATCCGCATCCACACTGTGCAACACGAGCCTTAGAACATGAAAGGGGCGTGATATCCTAATCCTGACGAGGAGAAGAAGGTGTTGGATTACCTCGACGGCAAGATACGTACGCACGTCGCCGATTATTCGAGTGGGCCGTATGCGTCCCCGTGGTTCTGCTTCATCAAACCTAACGGGACGCTGCGGTGGGTGCAAGATTTGCAGAGGCTGAATGCGGTAACCGTGCGGGATGCTGGAGGACTGCGAAATGCGGATGCTCTGTCAGAATCCTGTGCTGGAAGACCTATAATCTCACTTATAGACCTTTACTCAGGATATGATCAGTTTCCACTATACCCGCCGGATAGGTCGGTGACGGCTATGCACACGCCACGAGGATTAATCCACACGAACGTGGCCCCACAAGGGTGGACCAACGCGGTAGCAATGGTCCAACGGACCATGATTCGTGTTATGCAGTCGGTCAGCACTCATATCACACAGTCATACATCGATGATTTGACAGTGAAGGGACCGACAGTGAAGGAGAGCGACGAAGTCTCGCCAGGGGTAAGGCGCTTTGTTTGGAAGCACATCCAGGACCTCGATAAGGTCCTGAGCCTGCTCGAGGAGCATAACCTCACGGCGAGCGGGGCAAAATCCAGACACTGCATGAGGGAAGCAACTATCTTGGGGTTCGTCTGTAGCGAGAAGGGCCGAAGGCCGGATGCGAAGAAAACGAACAAGATTACTTAGTGACCAGTTCCTTTCCACTGAATAACTGATGTCAGGAGCTTCCTTGGTACGTGTGGATTTTGGAGAGCCTTCGTCAAGAACTTCGCCGCTAAGACTGAGCACCTGAGGAAGTTAGTTCGTCAGGATCAAGAGTGGGTTTGGGGTGAAAAGCAAGAAGAGGTAGTGGCCAGAATGATAGAGGAATTTCGAGAGGGGGGGTTGGTGTTAGGAGCGCCAGATTATGATGCCACGGAAACGCGACCCTTCATTGTTGAAACAGATGCGGGGCCAACTGCCTTAGGAGGAGTTCTACTTCAGGCAGACGTGGAAGGAAAGGAAAGACCCTTGCGATTTGAGAGCCGGACTCTCTGTACGACATAGAGGAACTACTCTCAGTTCAAAAGGGAGACCCTTGTTGTCCTCCAATGTCTACGGATCTTCCGAAACTACATCTTCGGCAGGAGGTTTATTTTGAGAGTGGACTCGACCGCCCAGGCCTACTCTCTAAGGAATTACGTTCCATCGGATCCGACGGTTGCCAGATGGCTGACGTACATCTGGATGTTTAACTTCGAGTCAGAGCGTATTCCTGGTAACAAGAACCGGGCGGACGGGCTGAGTCGTATCAACTGGGATAACCAGACAGGAGAGGCGGTAGAGAATACGCCCCCAGTTGATGGATTCCTGGATCAGAAGGAAGATGTCTGTCTCCATATCAACAAGTGGTTGCCGCGGGTGCCTAGCTGTGTGGGCTATCCTATTTGGCAAGCGCCGAGTGGATACGAAAGGAGGGCAAAGCTAGTCCTCAAACCCTTTGAAGAAGAAGATCCTTGGGGAGGTAAGGATGTTCAGTGGATGATGGAGTTGGCGCTGGTCAGTTCGCATAGTCTGGTGGAAGACATGAGGACGATCGAGGAAGGACCAGGCCAGGTAGAACGGCATGAGGATATGATGGGACGAATGTATCTCCTCGTCAACACGCTATTGCAGGAAAGTCTCGACCACTCAGGCTCGTTGAACCCGACAGGGAATGTGAACGAAGTGCCCAAGAGCTAGGACGACGAGTTCGAGGAGGGGGAGATTAAGGAGGCCTTTCGTGCGGAGGAGTATGATGAGATCTATCTAGAGCTGGGGCTTCTCTTGTCTTGCGAGATGCGGCTAAGGGATGCAAGCGATAGGGCTCAGAGGATGTTGCAGCGCTACTTAGTGCGAGATGGCCACCTCTTCATAAGAAGACTCTTCGTAAGAAGAGAAGTGGGGAATCCTAGGAGAGTCGTCTGCGGTAGGAACCGCCAGATTGACGTCGTAGCAACACTTCATGATGGCATTGCAGGAGGGCATCGAGGAGTACAAGTTACGTATGCCAAGATAAGTGAGTTGTACTACTGGGATGGGATGATGGATATGGTCGGAAAGTTCTGCCGATCCTGCGTACCCTGTCAGGAGAGATCCCGTTTAAGGCAAGGAGAGTCGCTGCATCCAAGGCTAGAGCGAGAGGTGGCGGTTGTGGTGCATCTCGATCTGCTTTTTATGCCGCTAGGGGATCAGGGTTATAACTATATCTTCGATGCGCRCGATAACCTGTCTGGGTTCGTAGACGGGCGTGCTATTCGCACAAAGACCGGGTCAGTTCTGGTGAGCTGCATCGAGGAGTATTACCTGCGCTATCCTTTCGTCAGGGAATTCATAATGGACAGGGGATCGGAGTTTACCTGTTAGGAAGTGCAAGAATTGTTATCAAGGTATGGTGTAGCAGCCAACTACACCACGGTCGCGCACCCCCAGGCAAATGCTCCCGTGGAGAGAGGACATAGTACCATTACGAGCCTCCTGGCTAAGTGGACCGAAGGTAGGCCTAATCAATGACCAAGATACCTAAGGGCGGCGTTCTCTGTCGAGAACATTACAGTAAAAAGATCCACCAAGTATGCACCGACGACGCTGTGGTATGGAAGGCACGCCACCTTCCCTATCGAAAGCTTTCTTAAGACATGGAGGCGCCAAGATCTGGAAGTTAACCTGTCATTTGAAGAGTTGCTCGATATCCGGGCGCGGCAGATAGGGGCGATAGAAGAAAGGATCCAGGAGGCGTCTTATCAGGTGTCGAGAAGCCGTGTGGATGATAAGGCTCGATGGGATCAGTCTGCGCGAGTGAGGAAAGTACCCTTGGCAGTTGGGGATGTCGTGCTTCTCTACGATTCATCGTTGGAAAAACAGTGGTCCAGGAAACTCGATAAGAGGTGGTTAGGTTCTTATCAGATTGTACGGGTTGGAGATTTTGGAGCGTACTAGATTGAGGAGCTAAATGAGACTGAGTGGAAGGATTTGGTATCTGGAACGAGATTGAAGAAATTTGTGGCAAGAGAAGAGGTAAGAGAGATGACCTGACTGCCTTTAGAATAAAAGTAGCAGGGTGTGTAGGTCAGGTAGGATGCATGCTGTATGAGTGTTGTCTGGTCTGGGCTTGCTTTGAATATCACCTGTTTGCTTACCCCAATGTGTGCCTGTTGTCTCCTTCGCCTGTTGTGTAGGTCTGACTTTACGAAGACAGCCATGCCAAGAGGAGGGAAGGGGACACGGCCGCCTCAGAGGCCGTTGGGAGCATCAGGAGGATATGAGCAGCATGGGCCTCGCCATCGAGAGAGTACTCCGATGTACGATGATGGGGACATCGAGCTATTCCTGGACAGCTTCTGGGATCATGCGAGGCGTATGGGTTGGACCGTTGCCCAGGCGATTGGGAGACCGAGGGGAGCAGGCAGATTCGAGGAGCCCGTCGTGCGGATCCGTAGAGAGGCGACAACGAGATCAGAGGTGGAGTGGAGGATGCAGGAGCTGCGACCCTCGCCTGTGGGACCTGATGGCAGGCCGATCCGCTTGGAGATTGGAAATGCGTCGGATTTCATCCCCGCGTTTGAGTGGTTCATGCAGGGGCAGGGTATACCAATAGATGATTGGATGCAGACGCTACCACTCTGGACCAGGAAGGCGGAAAGGCCACTGGCTAGCCAATCAGAGGCAGAGGGACCCTGAGCCAAGGGAGGCGAGACCGTCTCGAGGAGGACGAAAGGCCCTAGCGAGGAGAGAGGAGGAGCCGGAACCAGAGGCTGAGGAGTGAGGTGCGTACCCTGAGTGTGGGTTGAGACCAGTGAAGTTCCATCGGTTTGTCGAGGGCGGATTGAGGAGTTCGCCAGCACGCACACAGGAGGAGCCGCTAGCGTCTGAGGAGCCTTTGAGGGAGTTGGAGGCGCTTTTGGATATCTCTCAGTGGAGAGCGTCGCCTCGGGGTCAGGAGCATGGAGAGCGGGCAGAGGAGGTGCCGCAGGAGAAGGTCCAGGACACTCAGCGAGAGAGAGAGAGTTGGGCGATGAGGAGAGACGTGCAGGGAAAAAAGTGATAGAGGTTGGAGAGGACACGCCCCCTCAGACGCCAGCGGTGGGTTTGAGACTCGGGGATGCACCGAGGAGCACTCGCCAGGTAGGGGAGAGGTTGCAGAGAGAGGAGACCCCATTACCTTCATCAGAAAAGGCTTTTTCGTTAGAAGAGAGAGCAGAAAGGAGGAGAGAGAGGACAACTGTAAGGAGAGAAGCCTTGACCCTGATTGACAGACACCTAGCAGCTCATGCCCTGGAGGACCCAGACCTGGAAGAGCCAGCACCTGCAGAGCCGCGCCAGGAGCCGTGCCAGCCCGAGAAGGAGATGGAGGCAGAGATCCCGAAGAGGGTTGACCTCCGTACGAGGGAAAGGGCGCCAGCTGGAGAGACAGCAGACGAAAAGAGGGCGAGAAGAACCAGGAGGATAAACGAGATATGGCAAGAGAGGCAGAGGTTGGAGGCAGCAGGGGAGCTTCCGGAGCAGTAGCAGGAGAGGCAGAGATCGGAGGCAGTAGGAGCACTCCCAGGTCAGCCACCCATCGCGCTAGCTAGGGCCCCGGAGATCCCTGAGATGTGGAGGGACTTCTGGGAGCAGAGAGGAGAGGAGCTTCCTTCGCCAGTCAGAGTCGGGCTTGGGGTGGCAAGGAAGGCAGAAGAAAGGTTGGATCGCAAGATCAAGTTCCTGGCCAAGACAACTTTTGACCGGCACTTGTTGTTGAAAAGCGATCTGGCAGGGAAGAAGATAAAGGAAGCCGACCATGGAGTACGCCTGGAGGCTATGGAGGTGGAAATCCAGGAACTCAAGGCATTGGTGGTCAACCAGACAGCTATCATTGAGAGTCTGAGGCAGCGATCTCAGGGAGGGGCGGACAAGCCAGAGAGCAGCCGGCAGGGAGAACAAAGGCAGCCAGGACATGGTTTGCCAGGACAGCCATCTGCAGCAGAGACTCGCCAGAAGCCGCCTATGGGGAGAGTTATCCTGGAGCCAGAGGAGGTGAGAGACCAGAGGGAAGCAGAGAGAGAGACCTTCGAGTTTCGAGCCCCTACTTAGCTCGCGACGCTACCTATAGCAGTGGCGGTGTAAGGAAACCCGGGGAGGGGGCGCCTACTGTTCGCTGAAGCCAAGGGCTACGGCGCCTGTCACTCGCCGCGCCCGCTTCCGAGGTCCTCAGCGACCAGCAGGCATCGAAGTCAGGGGCGCCCTGTCACGCTCCTGAACAGCTTCGAYCAACAAGGTGATTCTACTGTCGCTCACCAGTACGTTTCTGCAATCAATTTAAAATTCCGCCAATTCACGCGCTAAGGGGTTTCAACAGTCAATCGGTGTCACACAGCAGTGCGTTTCAACGATCAATAGCCACGCCACGCAATGGTGGGTTTTTAGCAGTCAGCTGGGAACAGCAACTAGGTCGCCAGAGTAAGTTTCACAGTCAATCTTTGGATGTGCCACCCCACTTTCTCTT